ACATCAATGGTAGCATGACTAACACCTTCCAAAAGGTTTTGAGAAAGCTAAAGTAAAACAGCATGTGAGTCCCTAAAAGTCTTGATGGAAAATATTGGCAGCTATCACCTACAAAGCTGCCTCTAGCTAAGGGCCAACTATAAATTAGAGATTATTTAATTTTGCAGTAACACTCATGAGAAACGACAATGTATTATTCTTCCCCTGAAAATAATGCAAAGATTCTAATTAGTTTTTAATTGCTTACTAAATTGTTCCAATTTTATTCAAAATGGTCTTTAAAGAGCTACACACCAAAAAATACTTCCAATATTTCCATGAGACATTTGTCAGTTCTCCTGGCCTGAAGGCAGCACCAGCTGAATTCCAGAAGTACACAGCCATGGAGGGCTCACATGCTAAATTTTTAGTACGAAAGGATTTTATTTCAACCGCCTGTGACTTCACCCAAACAGGTCTGAGTGCAGAAAACAATTCTCATCTAAGCAAATGAAATCTGGGTTGCCTGAGATTCTGGGATGTGAATGTGTTCACCTGGAAGATACTGTTCTGGGCGGTCACTCTACCCAGACTCCCCTTTATCTAAATGCTCTCAAATGTTTCTATGGTCAAACACCAACCATTTTAGATAATATTTATACAGAAATGCGGCAGAGAAACTCTTAGAACTTTGACCTGTTACCAATTGGCTACTAATAGAGTCCTCCACTTCTTTTGGCAATGATTCCAATCTTGAAGGCTCAAGACAACTTCAGCTTTCAGTCAAGATTGAGTAACAGGTATCAAGATTTACCCCCCTGCCTTAAATAACTAGAAAAGTGGACAAAATATATGAAACACTGGTTTTCTGGACATTAGGTAACAGGCAACACAGGACTGTGATAGCTAAGAAGGGAAACAGAAAAGGTCAATTCTACAATTCTACCAGCTTCCTACCTGAAGGCAGTTTCCAGGCCTCAGTACAGGGACGGGAAATGAAGCCCAGCTGATTCACTAATTCAGGGAGACACAGTCAGAGTTCAGAGGACAAGGCAGCCAGAATTTTTAAGGCAGAGCACAGGAGATAAGGGAAATGCAAAGACAGAGAGCACCAGAAACCTGCAGAGGGTCCTTCGAGGACTATTTCAGTTCCAATCTGTATGGTGTGAGAAGACAGTACCTGGGGCTGGGAAAGAGCAATCAGGAAGGAATAAGCAGAAAAAGTCTCACTCCTACCAGCCAGAGTGAAAAGACTGCACAATATACAAGGGACCAGACAGATGTCTTTAAAATAAAGGGGAGTCACGTGAGGTATCTAAAATAAGTCAAATCATAGAAACAGAAGCTGGAAGATGATTGCCAGAGTTGAGAGGAGACAGAATTAGTGTCGAATGGGCATAGTTTCAGTTCTGCAAGCCAAAGCCCTGGAGACCTGTTGCACAACAATGTAAATATACTAACATTGCTGAACTATAAACATAAAAATAGTTCCGGTGGCAAACTTAACCTTATTGCTTTATAACCACAATTAAAAATAAAATATAAACATAAGGAAAAATAAATAAACAGGAGAGGGCCTAAATTAGCCCAAGACTACCAGCTGCTCTGCATGTGCCCAAATGAAGCTTACAAGCAAGCAATGAAAGGATCCACCTCATCCCAAATAAGTGAACTCCACAAAAGAGCCACACCATTCAAAGAAATAAAACCAATCACAGCAATAATATAAAATTCTTAGTATCCATCATCCAGTCGGAAGCCAGCCAGCAAAGAAATGAAAAAATATGACCCATAAGCAAAAGAAAAAGTAATCAACAGAAACAGAGCCAGAGGCAAGAGAGGTGATAAAAAGAGCAAATAAAGATACTAAAATGGCTATTATAAATATACTCAATGTGGTCAGAAGAGAAAAACATGATCATGATCAAGAGAGAAATATAATAAAAACCATCTAGAAATGAAAAATACACTATATGAAATAAAAAATTCACTGAATGGGATTAACAATAGTGTAAACAGTGCAGAGGAAAAGACGAGCAAACTTGGAAACATGCTACTAGAAATTATCCAAAAAGAAAAGCAACAGAAGAGTGAATAAAGCACCAACGACCTTGGGACAAAAATCAAAGAGAGTAACATGTATGTAATTACAGTCAAGGAAGGAGAGAAAAGAGAAGGTAGAATAGAAGAACAATATGAAGAAATAAACTCATATGATGAAGTACAATAAACTCCTTGAAGAATAAAAATTAAGAAAACCACACAGAGACACGATAATGAAATTGTTGACCAGTAATAAAATGAAAATCTGAAAAAGAGAAAAAGATACATGACAGCAGCATTGTCAGAAATTATGTGAGCCAAATGACAGTGGAGGAACGTCCTCAAAAGTACTGAAATCGACTGTTATTTTGGGATTCTCTACTCAGTGAAAGTCATCTTTCAAAATTAAAGACATTTTTCAAATAAAAGCTGGGAGAGTTCAGTTGTCAGCAGAATTTGACCAAAAGAAATGATGAAGTAACTCAGATAGAATAAGACAGTAAATACAAATTTGAGCCTTTACAAAAGAATAAAGAACACCAGAAGTGGTCATTATATTAAAACTATTAAAAAGAAAGTTAACTCTTTTTAAAGAATAATAGTTTAAAACACAAATAGTCACATCTTGAGAAGTTTATAAACATATGTAAAGAGTAGTGTAGGACAACACCACAAACGATGGGAGGTGGGAAATGAACCTTACACAGAGGGTGATAAAATATTCTTTGCAGGCCAGGCGCGGTGGCTCACGTCTGTAATCCCAGCACTTTGGGAGGCCAAGGAGGGTGGATCGCGAGGTCAGGAGATCAAGACCATGCTGGTCAACATGGTGAAACCCTGTTTCTGCTAAAAATACAGAAAGTTAGCTGCGCATGGTGGCGCGTGCCTGTAATCCCAGCTGCTCGGAAGGCTGAGGTGGGAGAATTGTCTGAACCCAGGAGGCAGAGGTTGCCGTTAGCCAAGATCGTGCCATTGCACTCCAGCCTGGGTAACAAGAGCGAAACTCCGTCTCAAAAAAATAATATATATATGTATATATATTCTTTGCAGGACAGGCATGTTGTAAACCCTAAAGCAGGATGGCACAGGCTATATGCAGCCTACTGACTATCTTTGTACAGTTCAGAAGCTAAGAATGATTTTTACATTTTGGAAGAGGTGGGAGGGAAAGGAAATGTGAAATCATCTATGTCACACAAAACCTAAAATATGTGCTACCTGGTTCTTCACAGAAAAAGTTGCTAAGCCCTGTCCTAGAATAAAATTTCTCTACCTCGGTGCTACTGACATTTTGAGACAGATAATCCCTTGTTTTATGGGGGTCTCCCTGTGCACTGTAAGGTGTTTAGTGGGACCCTTAACCTCTACCCAATAAATGCCAAAAACACCCACACCCCCCTCCTCCATGGTGACAATCAAATATGTCTCCAGACACTGACAAATGTCCTGGAGGTGAGAGAGAAACCTGACTGCAGTTGAGAACTACTACACTAGAGTACACCTAATTTTTTTTTTTTAATTAAAAAAAAGGTAGAACTGGGCCAGGCATGGTGGCTCATGCCTGTAATCCCAAGCACTTTGGGAGGCCTAGGCGGGTGAATCACCTGAGGTCAGGAGTTCAAGACCAGCTTGGTCAACATGGTGAAACTCCATCTCTACAAAAATTAGCTGGGTGTGGTGGTACCTGACTGTAGTCTCAGCCACTTGGGAGGCTAAGTGAGGAGAATCACTTGAACCCAGGAAGCAGAGGTTGCAATGAGCCGAGATTGCGTCACTGCACTCCAGCCTGGGTGACAACAATGAGACTTGATCTCAAAAAACAAAATAAAAAATAAGGTAGAGCTGATAAGCCAATAGTAGAAATAAAATTAATTCCTCAAAAAAATTTTTTAAACTCTCATTCCAAAAGAAGTCAGGAAAAGAAACAGATGTTTCAGATAAGGCAAAAGTACAAAACATAGAAAAAAACTGATAAATTAGACTTGATCAAAATTTAAAATTCTGCTCCTCAAAAGACACTGCTAAAAAATAAAAATAAAAGGCTGGCGCAGTGGCTCACACCTATAATCCCAGAACTTTGGGAGGCCGAGGTGGATCATGAGGTGATCACGAGGTCAAGAGATCAAGACCATCCTGGTCAACAAGGTGAAACCCCATCTTTACTAAAAATACAAAAATTAGCTGGGCATGGTGGTGCGCGCCTATAGTCCCAGCTACTCGGGAGGCTGAGACAGGAGAATTGCTTGAACCCAGGAGGCAGAGGTTACGGTGAGCTGAGATCATGCCATTGCAGTCCAGTCTGGGTAAGAACAGTGAAACTCCCTCTCAAAAAAAAAAAAAAAATCCAAGCCATAGACGGAAGGAAAATATCTGCAAAACACACATTTGATAAAGTACTTGCTTCCAAAAAGAAAAAAATGACTCAAGAAAACCTGATTTCGAGACAATATAAAAAGGCAAAAGATTTAAATAGACACTTTACCAGAGATTTAAATGACAAATATGCACATGAAAAGATATTAAACATCATGAATAAGAGAAATCCAAATTAAAACCAAAATGAACTACCACAACACACCTGTAGAACACTGCAGATACAAGAGACGGACAATAGCAAGTGCTGGCAAAGATGAGAAGCAACTGGAATTCTCAGGCATGGCTGGTAGAACTATAAAATAGGACAGCCACTATGGAAAACCATTAGAAACTTTACGATGAAATAAATGTGCACTTACTATATAGCCCAGAATTTACCCTCAGAGAAATAAAATGTATGTTCAGATAAAAGTTCTTACCCAAATATTCTTAGCAACTTTATCCAAAATATCCAAAAACTATGAACAACCCAAGTGGTCCGTCAACTGGTGAATGAACAAATAGAAAGAAACATACTACTCTACTGACACAGGAAACAACATAGATGAATTCATTTTAAGAGCATTATGCAAAGTGTAAGAGCAACAGAAAAGACTACATACCGACTCATTTCTTTTCTATGTAATTCAAACTATAGTGACAGAAAGCACATCAATGGTTGCCAGGTCCAAGTATGGGCGGAGGAATTTGCCTAAAAAAGAAAATAAGGGGACTTTTGAAGGTGATGCAACTCAACATTATGGTGGTGATAGTTACACAACCGCATAGATGTGTCAAGACCTGGAGAATCACTTAAAATTGGTGATTTATTGTATCGAAAAAGATGACATAAGCTGATTTAAAACCAAAATAGCCAAGAAGCCTTTAGAAATAAGAATGGAGTAAGAGTAAGACTACATTTTCCCCTAGTCATTAGTAGGAAAAACAACTTGCTATATTCAGGATGTCCAGGAAATAGTCCTTCTGGTCAAATTTAATAGGGTGCTAGTGCTTTGGATCCTTGTAGCAGAATACACGTTTAACCGGAACTAAAATACTGTTCAGAAGGTTTTGTTTTTTTTTTTTGAGGCGGAGTTTCGCTCTTGTTACCCAGGCTGGAGTGCAATGGCGCGATCTCGGCTCACCGCAACCTCCGCCTCCTGGGTTCAGGCAAATTCTCCTGCCTCAGCCTCCTGAGTAGCTGGGATTAAAGGCACGCGCCACTATGCCCAGCTAATTTCTTTTTTGTATTTTTAGTAGAGACGGGGTTTCACCATGTTGACCAGGATGGTCTCGATGTCTTGACCTCGTGATCCACCCGCCTCGGCCTCCCAAAATGCTGGGATTACAGGCTTGAGCCACCGCGCCAGCCTTACTGTTCAGAAGTGTTTAGGTCAGAGAGTCAACAGTAGGCACACATGGGAATTTAGTATTATTTCAAGTAAATGGGGAAAGAATCAACTCTTCAACAGACAGTATTGTGAGAACTCCTGAGGCATTTAGAGAAAAACAGTTCCATATCACACAGTACACAAAATCAAATTACAGATGTAATACAAATGTAAATTTAAACAAGATTATAAAGTCACTGGAAGATAATATGAAATTTTTAAAATCTTGTGATAGATAAGGCCTATGTAAACAAGTCACAAGACCCAGAAGAGTAGATGTGATGACAATTAAAAATTAAATAAAATACCACAAACCAAGTTCACAAGCTCAGACAGTTTAAGAGAATACTTCATATTTGAAAGTATAAACATTTCTATAAATGAGAATATGTTACTTATATGTATAATTTTATATATATGATGTATTTGTTTAAATACTAAAGGATTAAAAGCCACACTATGTAAAATTCCTATAAATCAATAAAAAAACTCAAATCCAATAGAACAAGCAAAAGATGAACCAGTAATTTTCAGAAAAATAAACCTGTGAAAATATAGTAAATGATGTGCTTGTATGCTTGTAATAATGAAAAACTGGAAACTTGAATATCCATCAATACTGGGGAATAGGTTAAGTAATGAATCATGCATCCATAACAGACAATGATGTTTTTGCCTGCAAAGCAGTCCTTCTACCTTCTTCTAGCAACAGAACCGCTCCCTTTCCCCTAGAAACTGCCCTTCCATCACCTGGAAGGCATCATTTACAAGGTTTTAACCACTCTCTAACAGAATGGAAATATGATTTCATGGGAATAGATGACTCCATTCTTCTGGGTTGTATAGTGAGTGGTCAAAAAACAAGCAGAAAATACAGGTAGAACCAAGCAGATGCTAGAAGAAAGGGGTCTCTCTCTCTCTCTCCCCCCCACCTTTGAATCCATAAAAACTAGGGTTGCTGAGGCCATCTTTGCACCACAAGGAACAAAGCCAACCTGAGAGTGACGTCCACACCAGAGAAGGCAGAACTAAAAAGATGGATCCACCAACCACGCCTAAAATCAGTTTGCATCCTCTAAATTCCTAGTTCTAGCACTAACCTTCATAAGGCCTGCTGGAGCTGAGTTTCTGTCACTTATAACTGAAAAAACTGGCAACGAGTATAACACAAATACACAGGGATGAGGTGGATCTGTATGTACAGACGTAATTTTCCACAAGGTGTTAAGGGAAAACAGCAATAGCAATTTTCAGAGCATTATTATATTTTGCCTGGTTTGTTATTTTTAAAAGAAACATATTTTTCTGTTAATAACGAGAACTGGCAAAAAAGGAGAATGTTCACTTTAACACTAACACATAAAAGACCTTGAAAAATACTATATACATTTTTAAGAATCACACAATAAAATAAAACATCATGCATAAAATTTGCATTAAAGCCCAGTCATCAAATTTATTTTAACAATTTCCACAGAAGCCCATGGAATATTCTTCCTAGAAAGAAGAAATAACAGCAGCAAACTGAATTATAAAGAAACAAAAGTGTTAGTGCTCCCAAGAGGTTATCAGTATTTGACACAGAACTTATTCATCTCCCTCTGGAAAGCCAACTCCAGAAAATAAATATTTCACCATCCTTCTATAACTATAGGGAAGGTGGATATACTTGAGGTAAAAGCTCTCTGGGCAGTTTTTAAAAAGACATTCATGTTTACATCTATGGTACAATGACAGAACAAGAAACCTAGGAAGATACTTCTGAAGAAGCTCAAATGTACTCAATTAAGGTACAGAATTTTGCTGTCTGCCATGTTCATGTTATACTAAGGGAAGACCAGAAGAACAGGACACAGGGTAATTCAATCAATACAGAAGACCATCCTTTTTCCACATCAGTGTTTTCATCTCAAATGCCAAATCCACACCACTCCAGGGCGCTCTCAGTACTGCCTACACTACACCATCTGAGATGTGTGATTCTCTGTGATCGAGAAAGAATCTACTCTTTGTACCTTAAATAAGAACACATAAAGCCTATTCACTAATAACTATTCACATGAATAAAAATATTTAGCTAAGATTTAAACTAAAATCGAAATACACTCTGAAAAACTATCATGCTATAAACAGGAATGGTATTAGCTTCACTGACCTATCCATATTGTCTTGACACTCTAGAAAGTTACAAGAGAATATACGTAATCTAAACTCTAAGATAAAGTGAAAATTCAATTGAAAAATCGATTTTTTTAAGTTGAATAAATGGCTTTATCTTGAAGCATCATATCTAGAGGGAAAAAGAAAAGAAAAGAACAAATAGTTTTTAAATCAATATTTGGCTGAAGCTGATGTAGAATTAATCAGCATTACTTTTTAAACCTCTTTGCAACAGGATTTTTAAAAAGTAAAAAAAAGAAACCTTTTAATGATTAAACAATAAATCTAATATATATCCTTCTACATTTAATAGCATCTGAAAAATAAGGTTTTTTTTTTTTTTTTTTTTTTTTTCAAATTTAAGAAACAACCATAGCCACACTTAGCGGGAAAGAAGAGTACTACTCTTTCTGAAACACTGAAAAGATAAAATATTGAGGGTTCTTATGATAATCACATATGCTACATTGGCACTATGACCCACAATGGGTTTGAAAAAATAACAAGATATGATTTTATTATTTCACACTATAATTTTAATCATTAGGCATATTAATGTCACTATACTTTTTAAATATATATTTTTAAAAGCTGTCTCAACAATACGATACCAAAAACACACAGCTGATATAGGTTGTATAAGTAATCATTTTGACTGTGAAAGAAATATGATCAGAACACTCTTACAATAAAAGAAAAATATCTTCCTTTTAATCATTCTCATGCAGTAATAGTGAAAACGCTCTTTGTACACAGCAGCTCTGAACAACACATTTCATCTCTTTTTCAGACCTGCTGTGCTATCTATTGCTGTTTTGACGATTACACAGTTCAACATGAAAATGCGTCCCATTCAGATTCTCAATAATAAGTCTGATTAGCCAGATAACTTCCCAATCGTTAAGAGCTTTTATTTCAGGACAACTACTATGCAAATCTAGCATAAAAATTGAACTCACTGGAATTGGGATAAGAAGATACTCTAAGAAGAAGGCTGTACATGTGACACCTATTGCATTTTATGCACTTGTCTTGCATTCCCTTCCTTTCTTCCTCCTCTTTGAAGTACCAGATTAAAGTATAATTACACTAGACAGTTATAAACAGGCTTATTACAAGAGAACTGTATGTTTAAGAAAGTGAGGCTTTTGGATAAAAAAATCTCCAAATATAGCCGGGCGCGGTGGCTCACGCCTGTAATCCCAGCACTTTGGGAGGCTGAGGCGGGTAGATCACGAGGTCAAGAGATCAAGACCATCCTGGTCAGCATGGTGAAACCCTGTCTCTACTAAAATTACAAAAAATTAGCTGGGCACGGTGGCACATGCCTGTAATCCCAGCTACTAAGGAGGCTGAGGCAGGAAAATTGCCTGAACCTAGGAGGCGGAGGTTGCAGTGAGCTGAGATCGCGCCATTGCACTCCAGCCTGTGTAACAAGAGCGAAACTCCGTCTCAAAAAAAAAAAAACTCCAAATATTTTCTGTTATATGTTTTTACAATCTTTCTTATAAAGGAGTGTTTAACAGAAATAAATCTACACTTCACTCAAGCCCAGTAGAATAATCAAATATAAAATACAGATGAAAAGCAAACTACATCAGTGATTTTTGGGGCAACAGCGATTTTTGGAGCAACATGTGCAAAATACAGTATTTTGCTATCTAATATCATAGTCATCAGAAAAGAAATGTGCCAAAACTCTTTCTCATTCTACTTGAAATGGATCCCCATAATTCTAACAAAGATCACTTGTGACATTAGGCTGTCATCAGCTTGCATGATCCCCAGTTTACTTTACCTTTCCTTCTTCATCTGGCTGTTTTGTGTAAAGGCAGAAAACAGTTCCTTTACAATTGCCTTCAACTTGCTCAGAAAGGTCAGGTCTTGTATAAAGCTCTGTTTTGGCAGGTGCACATGGAATCTGCTCCTCGGATCTACTCTTTCAGCTACATCTGCCTTTCCACTTCTCTGAATGTTAAGTGCTTTATTTTCTAGAGAAAGAAACGATGACAAATAAAGTTCAGTACACAAGCTAGCCCAACTAAAACATACATATTTCTACAGTTTGTTAGAGCTTTCAAGTTTTTTTCTGCCAAGGATTCCTGCTGTCATCTAACTGGAGTTTACAAATTCCTTTCCATAAGAATCTCAATGAGTCTTGCTCTTTATGCTAAGGTTTCCTGATCTTCACACAGGATCATAAATTTTAAACTCTTTGTTTACTCTTTTCATCCTAGAATCTTCTCTATTCAACAGGTATTTCCTATCTGTTAAGCACTGTGTTAAGAGCTAGGATGCACAGATTGACAAAACAGTGCCACTTTCCTCAAACTAACTCCCAACTTAGCAGCGAATTCTAGATGAGGCCATGACCCCAGCCCCATGGGATTATTTTCATGATGATTAAATGGCAAAAGGACTTTGCATCGCAATTTGCAATGTAATTAAGGTTCATAATCAGTTTTCTCCAGCTGGTTACAAAATAGGAAGTCAGAGAGATTCAAAGTATGAGAGGTTTGCCTTGAGGGAGGTTCTCTTTTGCTGAGACAGAGGGGACCATGGGGCAAGAATCTGAGAGCAGCCACTAGAAGCAGAGTGTGAGCTCCAGGAAATAGTCAACATGAAAACAGGGACCTCAGTCCTACAGTCTACAGAAACTAATTCTGTCAACAAATGACATGAATGTGTTTGGAAGTAGGTTCTTCCAACTGAGCTTTCAAATCAGAGCACTGTCCAGCTGACATCTTGACTTCACCCTTGAGACCTGTGAAGAAATAAAGAATCTGCTCTTCAGGAGTAGACCCTAAAGGATGGCAAGGACTACTCTTGAAACAGCTTTAAACTTTCCTGACCTCCATCAATGCTTAATTCTCTATGACTGAGACTTAGACGGAGTTCTGTCATGGCTTTGAGGTTCACAAATATCCAGTGAGTTAGCTCACCTTTGCTGCCGAAAAAGGCATATAAAAAATGGAGGCAAACTTCACTATTGCCTCCAGTAAACACAGCCCTCAACCTGGTACATGCATTTTCCCACCTCCAACCTCAACAGATGCCAGCCGGAGTCACCCCTGCTATCACACACACTCATTCTATACACTTATAGAAAGCCAAGCATGGTAAGAAGGGAACAGCAGGACCACAGAAACCACAATGTCAAGGTTCTGAATGAACAGTTCAACTAGCTGACCTTGAAAGTTTCTTTCTCCCTGAGATTCTATAATGTTACAGCTTTATCAAACTTTTCTTTCTCCATGCCCAAGTACAGTCTGGCAATCTTTTGTTTTTTTTAATAGAATGCAATTTTTTTAATAGATTTTAAAAAAATAATAAAGCAGGAAGACTCAGATCCTTAATCAGACTTTAATGCTTAAAAAAAAGTAAATTAGCTCTGGTTATTCTATCTAAAATTCCTAAATATTGCACACTTTCAGTTTCATCTTGGGCATTTTCTTGCAGGTTAGAGAAAATTGTAGCTTTCACCAAGAAAACTCCATAACCTTCATTTTATGATATTACTCACCAACGATATTTTGGGAATGTGACAATGCTCACCTAAGAAGACCTGTGACACTGAAAACAAATGTTTCAAGGAACTGTCTTCTTAAAAAATCTTGGCTTTTTTCACACTATTCTAAAAATAGAGCAGAAAAGCTATGCTGATTCATTGTAGCACAGTGTGACACAGCATTCCTCTATCATTTCTGCAGATCTACGGGCAACAAAGCATTCTTCCAAAGACTTTCAATCATTAACTATTGATGTTATTATAATTTATATAATATTTAGGCCTTTCAAAATCAGAAAACAATAGGACTCAGCACGGGAATGTATAAAGCATAATTTCTTAGGTGAAATCATTCCAACCCTTAAATAGCAGTGTCTCGGCCAATGTTCAGCTTAATGAGGAATCCTTCCTTGTAACGGTGGGTCCATTGTCACTCCGGGAACACTTACTCCCGGGATATATTTCTAGGCCAGCAACCTGTAAGTTACAATTTGAGATAATAACGATCAGTTTCAAAAAGGGCAGGAAGGGTTTTACTACAATCACTTTTTAGCCTTTAACACCATGCAAAAGTAAAGCACAAAGATAAAGTGTTTTACAGATAAGCTTTATTAGGTATTTTAAACCAACAAACACTTCATTTGTTCCAGATTTGCAAGTCATTAGCATGTATCATTTTCAAACCACACCTACCCCACCCCAACACAGGCTGTCAACATTCAATTCCTGTTCCACTGTCTTTCATTCTAGATAAATCAGTTTTCAGATTCTGCCAAAAGTAGAAATCCTTTAACAATTTTGTTAAAAGATGCACTTATTCAAAATAACCATTCTCTCAGCTACTCAATTAGTAAAGAGCAGTATTTGAGTTTAGTTAACATAATCTGAGACTAAAAACAAGACCCTACATTTAAAAAATATGCCAGTTACAAGATACTCCAACCCAACTTAAAAATCACTTCTATGAATTAAGCATGCCTGCACTGATACACAGGTTAAAATTAGCAGCTAGTTCCAATGTAATTTATACAGAGTAGTCAGAAAGATTCAAACCTGGTCTGATTCTCTCACACTGTCTCTTCACACCACATGGTACCAACAAAAAAGAAACAGTAATAAGAATAATTTATTTCCTAATGTTATGCGAGGCACTTTAAAAAGCAAAAATGAGTCACTCAAACCTCTAGAGTTATTTAGGAAACCACTTAGGAATAATTTAATATACAAAATCATAGCTGAAGAGGAGCTGCTATAACTACTCATGATACATCTACCGCATGTATGTTAATTTTCTAAGAGCAGTCATATACCATGAGAAAACATGTATTACTTTTCCCTTTGCATATGCCTGAACCATATATGTACACAATAATTTAACTCTTCTGTAGAGAGGTTTTTAAAAATATGCTAACTAGGACTTCAACTAAAAGATTTTCAGTTTGGGATTATGTGCAAAAAAGACATAGGAGTGATTATATTAAACATACATATACAAATAGTTAAATATCAAACTATCAGGAATCATAAAATTTAAAAGAGTGGGAACCAGCAGCTACCTAGCAATGATACAATCATATTCAAACTCAGTTATAAAAATAAACAGATAATTTGGCAATTAAAAAGTAACTGCCATTTCTGAAACAATGGAGATATCTCTATTTTTCCTGCTGGGAATAACCAAAAACCGTGGCATTATGTATAAAATAAACATAAGATAACTGAAAAGTGGAGAAAAGGCAGCAGACCAGCAATGGACCTCAAGACCCAAGAAAGAACAGTTGGTATTTTCCAGGGTTTTCTTTTCACTTCCTAATCCTCAGACTTGGAGCTGACGAAGTTGGCAATCCAATACACAAACATACAAAGACCAGAAAAGCCCCCAAAATACTGCTTTGTCTAGTCAAAGGACTAGGCAACCTAGAAAGACAGAAAACAGACAATAATACCTTCATGCCAGCCAAACAGCACAAAATCAAAGAGTGACCCGATTCCCATCCATGCCAGCCAAAGTCAAGAGGAACCTGGATTTCTGCCCTCTGAAGGCAATAACCAGGTACCCCAACACTCCCACTGGGGTAGAATCAGTGAAAGCAAAACAAAGAGCCAGGACTTTCATCCCCACTAACTGGTTACAAGGCCCTCTCTGAGGCAGTATCAGTGAAGGCTGAGGAGCCTGGGCTTGTACTCCCACCTAGCAACAATAAGATGCCTGCCCTCTCCCCTTTTGGGTAATGTCAGGGCAAGCCTAGTGGAGATTACAACTTTCACAATTGGCCAGTGGTAAAACCAGCCCATATACCACAGTGTCAGCGAAGACCACATGGGAAGCTAGCTCCCACCCGTACCCAGCAGGAACAAGGAGCTCCTCTACCCAACTTGAGTATCAACAGAGGCGAAGGGGAAATGATGACCTTTACCTCCACAAGTTGATGGCCGCCTACTTCCATTTTTTGTCATCCTGTAGGAATGTCAGAGAAGTTAGAGAAGATCCAGACTCTCATAATGTAATACAAAAATGTCCAAGATTCAAGTGAAAATCACTTGTCATAACCAAGAACCAAGAAGATATCAAATTGAATAAGACAATCAATCGATGCCAAAACCAAGATATCAGAGATGACAGAATCAGCTGACAATTCGAAATCAGCCATGATAAAAATGCTTCAGTGAGCAATTATGAACATACTTCAAACAAATGAAATATGAGTCTCAGCAAAGAAATAAACATAGAAAGAACCCAATTAAAATTTTATTTTTTATTTCAATAGCTTTAGGAGTATAATATAGTTTGAATATTTATCCCCACCCAAATCTCATATTGAATTGCAATCTCCAATGCTGAAGGTAGGGTTTGGTGGGAGGTGTTTGGGTCATGTGGGCAAATCTCACATGGATTCACATGAATTCTTGTGAGATGCGGTCATTTAAGTGTGTGCCCCTCCAACCCCCTTTCACTTGCTCCTGCTTTTGCCATGTGAGATACCTGCTCCCTCTGCCTTCCACCATGATTATAAGCTCCCTGAGGTCTCCCTAGAAGCTGAGCAAATGCCAGCATCATGCTTCCTCTAAAGAGTGGAGAACCATGAGCCAATTAAACCTCTTTTCTTTTTAAATTACCCAGTCTCGGGTATTTAATTATAGCAATGCAAGAACAGCCTAACACAGATAATTGGTACTGAGGAGTGGCGCATTGCTATAAAGACACCTGATAATGTGGAGGCAGCTTTGGAAGTGAGTAATAGGCAGAGGTTAGAAAAAGTATGAAGGGCTCCAAAAAAAGAACATGAGAGAAAGTTTGGAACCTCTTAGAGACTGGTTAAATGGCTGCGACCAAAATGCTGATAGTGATATGGACAATGAAAGCCAGTCTCAGGGGGACATGAGGAACTTACTGGAAACTGGGGCAAAGGTCACATGTGTTATGCCTTGGCAAAGAGCTTGGTTGCATTCTGTTCATGCCCTAGGGATCTGTGGAAGTCTGCACTACAGAGTGATGACTTAAGGTATCTGGCAGAAGAAATTCCTAAGCCACAAAGCGCTCAAAAAGTGACCTGGTTGCTGCTTCTAACAATCTACGCCCAGATGCAAGAGCAAAGGAATGACTTTAAGTTGGATCTTTACAGGGAGAGCAGAACATAAAAGTTTAGAAAATTTGCAGCCTGAACATGTGGCAGAGAAAGAAAAAGTTTTTCTGGAAGAAGAATTTGTCAGGCTGTGGAACAACTACTTGCTAGATATTTGCATAAGTAAAAGGGATCCCAGTACTAACATCAAAGACCCCGGGGTGGGGGGGCGGGGAAGGCCTTGAAGTCATTTCAGAGCTCTTCACCGCAGCCCCTCCTGTCACAAGCCCAGAAGCCTAGGAGGGAAAAATTGTTTGGGGGGCCAGGGCAAGGTTCCTAAAGCCTGCACAACCTCAGGACAATACTACCCACATTCTGGCTGCTCCAGCTCCAGCTGTGGCTTAGAGTCACTGCTCATACCACTCATCTACAGTGGGTAAATCACCATAGCCTTTGGTGGCTTCCACATGGTGTTAAACCAGTGATTGCACAGAGCACAAGAGTGAATGAGGCTTGGTACCCTCTACCTAACAGATAAGCCTGGATGTCCAGACAGAACTCTGTAGAAGAGGGGCCCCCACAGGGAACCTCTACCAGGGCATTTCCTAGAGAAAATGTGGGATTGGAACCCCTACACAGAGTTTCCACTGGAGCATTGCCTAGTGGAGCTGTGAGAAGCGGGTGATCAAACTCCAGACCTGAGAATAGTAGATCCACCATCATCGGCTTGCACCCTGAGCCTGGAAAATCCACAGGCACTCAATAGCCAGTGAGAGCAGTGGCAGGTGTTGAACTATGCAAAGCCATGAGGGAAGAGCTGCCCAAGGCCTCAGGAGCTCACCCTTTCCACCAATATAACTAGGATGTGGGACATGGAGTCAAAGGAGATTACTTTGGAGCTTTAAGATTTCATAACTGCCCTGCTAGGTTTTGAACTTGTATGTGGCCTCCTTTCTTTTGGCTGGTTCCTCCCTTCTGGAATGGGAATGTTTACCCAGTGCCTCTACCTCTACTCTGTCTTGGAAGTACATAACTTCCTTTTGATTTTACAGGCTCATATATGGAAAGGACTTGCTTTGTCCAGATGAGACTCAGATGAGATTTTCAACCTTAAACTTTTGAATTAATGCTGGAATAAGTTAAGACTTTGGGAGACTATTGGGAAGACATGATCATATTTTGCAATGTGAGAGAGACACAAGATTTGGAAGAGGCCAGAGGCAGAATGATATAGTTTAGATATACAGTTTTCCCTGCCTAAATCTCATATTAAATTATAATCCCCAATGCAGAAGGTGGGGCCTGGTGGGAGGTGTTTGGATCATGGGGGCAGATCCCTCATGGCCTGGTGCCATCTTCATGATAGTGAGTGAGATCTTGTCATTTAAAAAGTGTATGGCACCTGCGCCCCCACCCTCTCTGTCTTGCTCCTGTTCCAGCCAGAAGACGTAATAAGCCAGCTCCCCCTTTGCCTTCTGCCACAATAGTAAGCTTCCTGAGACCTCCCTAGAAGCAGATGCCACTATGATTCCTACAGAGCCTGCAGAATCATGAGCCAATTAAACCCCTTTTCCTATAAACTACCCAGACTAACATATTTTTTTATAGCAATGCAAGAACATCCTCATACAGATGTTTTGGTTACAGGATGAATTGTATAGTGCTGGAGTCTGAGATTTTAGAATATCCATCACCCAAGTAGTATACATTGTACCCAACAGGTAGTTTTCATCCTTCACCCTTTTTCCAACCTCCCCTATTCTGAGTCTCCAACATTGGTGATACCAGTCTGTATGCCTTTGTATACCCAAAGCTTAGCTTCCACTTTTAAGTGACAACATATAGTATTTAATTTTCCACTCCTGAGTTACTTCTTGTAGACTAATGGCCTCCAGTTTGATCCAAGTTGCTGCA